AACAGAAGCTCTCTCAGGGTAGGAAGACAATAGATAGTCAAGATTTTTCTAAGCATTAAAATGGTAAGGTCGAATTACAGTACTTAGAGCAGTATTTTGAGTTCATTGTGTTTGACATGGTTACGCTTTGCTTCTGAGATACTTGTGTGTCTAGGATGGCTGAGCCTTGTATTTTGAGTTATATGCGTGCTAGGATAACCAAGCCTAATTTCTGTTACGTGCGTGTTTGGGATGGATAAAGGCTTCCTCCCTCAGGTTAGGTGTTCGCGTGTCGGACGAGCCTCCGTGTGGAGTAAGCAAGAGAAGCTACAGTCCCTTCTTTAAGATATACTCGACCCACAAGTAATCGAAGACCCACTCAGGGAAATGCTGATTCAGGAACACAGCGAGGTAAATAGTAATGTCCATGGGCTGGTAGCGACTCTGCGGGTACTTCTGCGTCAGGGCGTCAGTCATTGCAGTCAGCACCTCACTCACGCCCGGGTTCTGGCAGGGGAAGGAGCATAAGTTGTAGTGCAGTATATCAAAGTTAGAAGAAGCTTTACGTTGCAAACAATGTACAAATGACTTACAGGGATGCAGCACAACTACAATAAAGCACCCACAAGACTATACTCACTGATTGCATACCATTATATACCAGTTACATCATTAAATATATGGGCCAAACTTAACCGAGAGTGGTTGGTGTTGTCACACTTACCCCGGAACGTGTGTTATTCAGCTGAAAGTTAATTGTTTCGTAAAAGAAATCTGGGGTGGCTCTTCTTCCGTCCAACTATTAGATAGGGTGGAATCAAAGGCCTTTCGTCTTATTAACTCTCCTCCTTTAGTCGACAATCTCTCTCCCCTTTCTCTTCGCCGCAATGTTGCTTCACTCTCTCTCTTTTACAGGTACTTTAACGGGCAATGTTCAGGGGATTTGGCATCCTGTGTACCGCTGGCAAGGCCGTGGGTTCGTAACACACGTCTTGCCCGCAGTGCCCACCATTTCTCTGTGGATGTCGGTCACACGAGAATAACCTGTTATAGTACCTCCTTCTTTCCTCACACAGCCTTCTTCTGTGTTTCCATGCTCTTACAATCTGTCCCACTTTAAAAAGCTGGTTTTCCGGCATCTTCGTGGTGTAGATTAATACAGTATAACCTTTTTTTCTATATTTTCAATTTCTTTCCGTTCTTTTTTTTTCGCCCCCCAGGCTCCGTTGTGGGTCGTTTGACCTGTGCCCGGGTGGGCTAATTCCCGTAAAAAAAAAGAAAGAAAAAAGTCTTGACCTCTTCGTCCATGGCTGCCCACATGGCCTTCCCGTCACGCCTCACGTCACTCTCGCGGAAGATGCCCGTTCCTGTGGTGGTGGAGAAAAGTACTGAGCAATGTTACTTCTGGTGGTGATGGAGGGGAGTAGTGAGGGAGGTATTGGTGGTGATGGAGGGGAGTAGTGAGGGAGATATTGATAGTGATAGAGGGGGAGTAGTGAGGGAGATATTGGTAGTAAGAAAGAGAGAAAAAAAATAATGCAGAGATTGCAATAACGAAATTAGACATATGAAACAACGAAGTGTATACTGTATATAAAAGCAAATGGTACGATAAAAATAAATAATTAAAATCAATATTTGGATCACCTGAAGATTTAACACCCTAGATTATTTCACTTGAATTATCACCCTAACGCTAACTTAACCCTTATGTGACGTTAGGGTGTTTAATCTTGAGGTGATGCCAGATGTTTACCCGCTGTGAAGTTGCCAGGTTCAATGAGGCAAACGTCAATACCAAATCGTCTCATCTCGTTTCTGTGGAAGATGAGTTGGTTAATGTCTTGAGAGGAGTACACCTTTTCACATAAACGTTGAGACATTGTTATATACTTATTTGACATATTTCATAACCGAATGACAGAACACATATCGAATGACATTCTAAGATAACTGTTCGTTCATGCTAACAGAAATGATTGACAAAGGTTATGAAATTGACAGACATGAACAATATGCAGACTGTCGGTTTATTGTTCATTTCTGTCAATTTCATAACCTTTGTCAATCATTTCTGTTAGCATGAACGAACAGTTATCTTAGAATGTCATTCGATATGTGTTCTGTCATTCGGTTATGAAATATGTCAAATAGGTATAACAATGTCTCAACGTATATGTGGAAAGGTGTACTGTGAACTTTAACCCATATATTTAGTTTTATTCAGTAATATCGTCATGGAAGTTTACATTGAAGTTAATTATCATTATTATGATGACCCATATATTCAGTTTTATTCAGTAATATCGTCATGGAAGTTTACACTGAAGTTAATTAGCATTATTATGACAAGACATTCTAACTAAAGAGACTTTTTTACTAAACATTTTTTTTATTAATTGGAATTTCCAAGTTATTAATATTAAATTGATTCTGATATTATAGTGGTGTAGGTAAAAATAGTTTTGGTTTTGTTGTCCACTAAGACACTCACCTGAGTCCGTCATTGAAGCCCTCGAGGGCGTGAGGTCATAGGTGGTGCCTATAGGGAAGGGGAGGCGGCCCCGCCCGCTGCCCAAAGACACAATTCGACCTGTAGTCATTCATGTTATTTAAGTCAAATGTATTCGGAAATATTATATATTTTGCACAAAAGAAAAAATATATCCTTTGTAACCAGAACAGACAGAAATATTAAAAACTGTACTTCCTTGGGTGTGTGACAGTGTGTGTGTGTGTGTGGCTGCCTGATTACCCTTTGCCTTCCTGATGAGAGGGAGGAAGGTCTTGGTGACGGCGATGGTCCCGAAGATGTTGACGTCACTAATCTTACGACAAGTTTCCATGATCACCCACTCGACAGCCCGTGTGTGCAGATAGCGGCGTTGTTCACCAATCCCCACAGCACCTCTATCAACATCACAGGGATTACTTCTCCTCTGCACCTTATACAATGGCGATGGTACCAAACAATAAGGAAACGTTGTTACGAGTATCGGAATAAGAACTAATGAATAGATTACTGGTCGGCATATGAACTTCGACTGATTCGTTGTGTACACACTGAAGCAGTTTAAATTAAGATATTATATGTTATACTAAAAATGTAGTAACATTGGTTCAATGTGTTAGATAAAACAAAGTAATGTTTATTGTATTAGTCTCGAATACTAATGAGTGAGTGAGCGTTTGATAGCTATTTGTGGATTCGCAAGTTGAACGTCTTTTGTTTATGACGTCATTTCTGCCACCTCTACCCGATTAGTTTTACCTCTCAGAGCCGGGCAGAGTTGCCAACTTAGCGACTTTGTAGCTAGATCTAGAGCTTTTTGTTTTTTTCTAGCGACATTTTAGAGCGATTTGCGACTTGTCGCAAATCTAGAGATATCCACAGAAATCTAGCGACTTTCTGGATACTTTTGGACTGTCCATGAAAACTCGGTTTTCCTAATTTCGAGCCATAATATATAGCAACGGGGTTACAGGGACAATGCATTTGAACGGGTTGAACTCATAAAACAACTTCGTCAACGCTTACCTGACAACATTCGTGTGCTGCAGTCTATTTCTTTTCTGAGTGCCGATGAATGCTTGAAGCCTATTAAATCAGATATACTTGGTTTGGCACACTTATTTACAGAAGATTCCAGCACCCTTACCAAGATTGATTTCCAGTGGAAAAAACTGCATCACACAATCTGGACAGAAACATCTAACACCCTAAAATTGTGGTCAGAAGTGGCAAATTACAGAGATGCGACAGGTGAAAACCCTTACCATGATCTGGCTGAAATTGCACTCGCTGCCTTATCTCTTCCGCATTCAAAAGCAGATGTAGAGCGCACATTTAGTAATATGAACTTTGTGAAATCAAAATTGCGCAACAAAATGAAACTATCGACATTAAAGACAATTCTTACAATAAAGTATGGGTTAAAAAGACAGAACACCTGTTGTGCAAGTTATGAACTTCCTAGTGATATTTTAAGAAAGATAGGGACTGTGGAGGCATACAGTTACAAGATATCTGCACGAGAACCTGAACCAAGCACTTCACATGCTTCCAGCTCTACAGTTGTTCACACTGCCGACGACTACGAAGAGGACTGGGATGCAATTACTATTGAATAATAGGTAAGTGTGCACATTAAACTTTAAAAAAATAATATTTTTATTTATACATAATGCATTTTATTTATACTCCGTCCATTATAGTCGGTATTATGAAAATATAATTTGCATCAAATTCCTGAAGGGGGGGGAATAATAGCTAGCGACTTTCCATGGAAGATTTAGCGACATTTAGCTACTTTTAGGTACCAGCCTAGCGACATTTGAAAATCCGAGTTGGCAACCCTGGAGCCGGGTGGCTCTAGTATTGGGCTGGCAGTTGTAAGATAAGTGTCTCCTCTCATATTGCATATTTCTAGTGGTATACTGTGTTAACCTTGCTCGACTTTTGAGAACACCAAGTATTACATAGTGATTTATATGTGAGACTGTGTAGTCGTACTGTAGAATTCAACGGTAAATACCTTACTTGTTTATGAGTTACGTGTGTTGGATAACCACGTTGTTTAGGGTAGTGTCTAGAGACTAAATAAGTGTTTAATCATTACGTTGATGTTCTTTATTTTGTCACTCGGTTGAGTAGTTCATTTGTTCAGTTTTAAATTGTATTTATTTATTTTTGTACATACGGTTATACTTATTGTTTGTTTATTTGTTAATATAGTTGGTAATTAAAGCCACTGCATGATTTTCAATATACCCCATAGTAATGAGGTGATAATTTGGTGGGATCTATTCCTGGACCTATAGTACAAAGTGTAATTTGTGAATTTGTGATATTGTTACACCCTTAAGAGGCCCAAGGGTCGTAACAAAATTGGCGACCTTGCCAGGATTGATCCCTTTTCACTCATTATCTATTGGGAATATTTGAATATAGGATTTTTTATTTGTTTAATTATGGCTACTTTTGATGTGAAGGAGTTTGTTGAAAATCCATCATTGAAAATGTTGAAAGACTGTTTTAAGAAAGGGTGATTGGATAAAACTTGCCGATACATATGAAATTGAGTATAGACGTAGTCAAAGAAAGTCTGAAATTCAAAGTGCAGTACTAACTGAACTTGTAAATGAAGAGGTGCTACCGAAGGGGGGCACTAACTTTGCGTTCATTTGACCCCAGGGAAGCTGTAGAGATCAGAAAGTTAGAAATGGAACACGAGTTGACTTTGAAGGAAAGAGAGCGTGAAAGGCAACACGAATTAGCATTAGCACAGGTTAGCAGTAGAAGACAAGACTTACAGGCATTGTCTTTAAAATCTGAGACAAAATTGTTTGATGTGACAAAACATTTGAGACTTATGCTTGCTTTTGACGAGGAGGATCCAGACGAGTTTTTCATGCAATTTGAGAAGATTGCAAAGTCTTTTCAGTGGCCTGAAGAGTCGTGGATTGTTATGATTAAAAGTGTGCTCACTGGGTTAGCTCTTTCAGCATTTCTGTCTTTGTCAAGTGAAGTTTGTCGTAGTTATAAGTTAGTGAAAGAAGAAATTCTTAAGGCATATGAACTCATCCCTGAAACAGAGTGAAATTTAGAACTATGAGAAAGACTGATGTACAGTCGTATATAGAATTTGTTTATTCATTGAGTAAAATGTGTAGAAGGTGGATAAAGTCTAGCAAGGTAGAAACTTTTGAGGAACTTGTTGAGTTGATGATTTTAGAACAGTTCAAAAGAGCCACTACAAGAGATGTACAATTGTACTTAGGAGAGAAAGATATTAATGTTCATAAAGCTGCTGCAAAAGCTGATTGCTATGCCCTTACTCACAAAATGCATCCTGTTAAATCTCAAAATCATTCAGGTGGAAAGTGTTTTGTAACCAAGGAAATGGGTGGTAGGCAGAATAGTAGTACTGCTTCTTCTAGTAATGTAAATTTTCGTGGAAACTCAGATGAGCTTTCCAAGACCTATGCCAAGACTAAACGGGTATGCTAGGGACTGTGCGGGCGGGTCGTGTTGCGTCTCTGTAACAAAGCGTGTTCGGCATTCGGGCCTTCGATGTAGAGCGGCAGAAATTGGACAGTGATTACATAAGTTCGTCAAGATCGTCTTAGGGAGGTGAAAGTGTAAATCGATGTCGGACTTTTCATGCTAGACACGATTGTATTTTTGAAAACTCAATTTCCACCGAGTTGGAGGTACAGCCAGGGTCACAGGCCTATAACCACACAATCACTGCCACATGACAAAGCTTTTATTTTATTTTATTTTTTAGGGTGTTGTGGTCACGGCTGTGATAAAGGCCAACCAGGGAGTGTAGTACTGTGCCTTCAGTTAAATCAGTTCATAGTTGTCATCAGTGAATGCAGAAGAGACTATAATAACTTAAAGTGAATACATATTGGCAATCGAGCTGGTAAGGACAACTGCCAGCCTATTCGTGTCATAGGTGCCACAGAGACTTTAAATTTTATTTTGTTTGTGTGCTTTCTCAAGGACTGAATCTGTGTTTATAATACACCACTCACAGGGAGATACAGTGTACACAGTGATAGTTCATAGTGTCATCAGTGACCGCTGAAGTTGTAAATAACTTAAAGTGAGCGCTCACTAGCAAGCAAGCTGGAAAGGCACCGTGCCAGCTGAAACCAAGTCGTGTCATAGGTGCCACAGAGACTTTAAATTTTATGTTGATTGTGTGCTTTCTCAAGGACTGAAACTGTGCCTACAATACACCATTCACAGGGAGATACAGTGTACGCAGTCGCAGACGACAACTCCATAGGCAACAGAGAGTAGCTAAGTACTTTTTCTCTCTTTATTTTCTTTGAAATAGGTGTAGATTTATACACAGTCTGCACCCCCCCCCCCCCCACAACAACAACAACCATGAGTTTGATATGTGATTACTGCAGGGAGACGTCGGATATGGAGGATACAGGCCTAACTAATGCAACGTTTAGGAAGTTACTAACTGCCGTAAAGCTTGATGGCTGTTGCTGGTATTGCCCTGGCTGCATAGTCAAGGTGAATGAAGCGATTGCAATCCATAAGGGAACGAGTTCTCTAGGGACGAAAATAGATGAAGCAGGAGCCCTGCTGGTTGACAAACTGGAGCAAGTTGAGAAAGAGATCCTTGCTAAGACTGAGGAAGTAGCTAATAGAATGGAGGTGGTTGCTAAGAGGAGTTATGCTGACGTATTAGGAGGGCCACGGGGGGGGGCGGAGAGTAATGCAGAATCAGTACAGGTTCTACAGCAGATTGGGACTCTGAAAAAGTGTGTCGAAGAAATGAAAATTAACGCACCGACTGTTAGGGGAGAGGAGGAACACCAGGAACGGCTCCAGCGCAGGAACAATGTAATAGTTTTTGGAGTCCCAGAGAGCCAGGCAGAGGGAACTGTGAGTAAGGAAACACACGACAAGGTGCTGTTTCAAAATATTTGCACAGAGGTTCTGAAGATTCCAGCAACCCCTCAGGATGTGAGGAGACTGGGACAAAAGCAGGGGGCTAAGCCTCGCCCCCTCAGGATCACACTAGGGAGTGAGGAGGAGAAATGGCAAGTTATCCGGCAGGCAAAAAACTTAGCAAGGAGCGAGGCATTTCGGGATGTATTTATTCACCCAGACCGCACGGTAATGCAGAGGGAACAGCACAAGAAGCTCCTGCTGGACTTGAAGCAGAAGAGGGAGGAGTCGAGGAGGAACGGGGACAGGTGCACATGGGTTATACTCAGGGGGAGGGTAGTGGAAACAAGTGTGCCGACACAGGGCCAGGGGGCAGCAGTGCACCCTCCACCCACTCAACCCCCCACCCGGGAGGCGGCACCAGCTCAGCCTACCGGA